AGGAGGTTTGTAGATCCTCCTCCCAGCAGGTCTCAGTGACTTCTGGAATCCAGCCTCTTAGTTAGAATTCAAGGGGAGGAGTGTCGGGGGGAGGCACAGTGCCAGAATTCCCATCTGGCCCTAGAGGCCCAGAGGAAGCCAGAGGATCTGGTAGAGCAGAGCCAGGAAAGTGGTGTGGCTCCCAGCGGCCCTTCCTGCCACCTGTAGGGCACCCAGGGGTTAATGGCACTCTAGGTGCCTCTCCCTTCTTGTTAACTCTGCCTTATTTCACAGTTGACTGCTCCTGTGGAAATTGCAATGAGGATGAACTCCAGGCAGCTGGAAAAGTACCGGGCCGCCCTGGAAAGGCTGCTGAGCGAGGTGCTGCTGTCCACCCAGAGCGGTAAGGGAGGGCGGCATCATTGCAGTTGGGGCCTGGCCTCTGCCCATTCCAGTGTTAATATTCTAGAAGGGAGCCTGTCTGAGCAGGGTTAGGGGACTGTGATTTGTTTTTTTGCTTTGTACTTGAGAACATGAAGCTGTCTGCTCCCGCAAGGGCGCCCCTCTGTCCCTGAACCTAATCAGAGAGCAGGGCCTGCTCAGATAGCTGCTGGTGCCCAAGGGGCCCAATTCCCCAGTCACGGGCATCTCAAAGCCCCGCCTCAATGGCTCAGGCCCATTTCCCCACCATCTTTCTGGCAGAGGGCTACAATAAACAATAACAACCCACCAATCCTTCCCTGCTGCAGATACGTTCCTTCTCTCCCAAAACACCACTGAGGCTGGTGGGTACTCTGAAGGAAACCCTGGTGCATTCTGGCCACAAAGCCTGCATTTTTTTTTTTTTTCCATTATTCTGTAAATCGAAGTCCTGAGTCCCATTTGGCCTTGCCCAGTTCAAGCTCTGCAGTTACTTGTGCAAAGCTAGATCTGGTCTGACAAACAGCCATTAATTACTTCTCGCAGTCCCCTGGAGGAGAGGCAAAGGGCAGAGAAGAAGTGTTCCAGGTGGAGAAACGGGGAGGTTAAATGACTTGCCCCAGGCTACAGAGAAAGCTAGAGGTAGAGCTTCCAGAAACCTGGCAAAACCTGCCCCTCCCGGGTGCCCCTCCTCCCTCGGACCTACAGGCAGGTTTAGAAGGTGATTTCATAAGCTCATAAGCAGACTTGCCCACACTACTGAGCAGCAAACCTCTTTGCTTTTCTCCAGCAGCCAAGTGACAGCCCACTCTGGGGAGAAGGTGGCCGGAACTGGGAGCCTTCTCTTACCCGAGAGAGGCCGTGTAAGTCCGCAAGACCCATCAACCGGGCTTGGAAGGAAAACACCCATGGAAGCAAATCCCCCTCCAACAAATAAAATGTGAAATATATAGAAACAGCTCTTTTATTTAATATCTTAATTTCCAAAGGTCAAACTTAGGTCATACCATAAAGGGGGGAAAAATAAAGCTCAGAGGGAGTTGGGACATAAATGGTGCATACATTAGCAAACCATGTGCCTTTTGTAAGTTCTGTGTTCAAATATTTAGACTGACAGAATTGGAAGATTTACACCAGCCCTTCTGTTATAGATGAGGAAACTGATGCCCAGAGGGATGGCATTTTTTTGCCCACATACTGAGTCAGTGGCAGAGTAAGGACTAGAATTCAGGTCTCCTGGTCCATTTTCTGTTTACCAATGAGCTGGAGGTCTAACGAGCCAGAGTTTGAAGTCCTCTGCACTCAACCCCTTGCAGAGTAACTTCCAGCTTGCCCTTTAACCTCAATGAACCTTTGCAAAAGCAAGGTCGTAATACTCACCTTGAGATGTGGGGACGAAAGCACCAGCAAAGAGCAAATTACTATTATTATTATCACCTTATGACTACATGCTCCAGCATCTGCAGCAAAATTACACAGCCAACCCACTCATTTCTGCCTTCTAAACAACACTGGATGGGAAATTTCATGCTAATTTAACATTAATGAATGTTCATTTATTTATAAGCTAAGGCCATATAGGAACCATAGGTTACTAGCAATTAGACACAGTGCCCATTCCATACTCCCACACATTCCAACCACTGTGGGAGCTTAGCCGGATAGTAGTTATGGGAAAAGAAGACCCCAACCCTTAAAACGGACCCTCCCTTAGGATGTTCTGAATGCTCCTGAGGAATACACTCGGTGCTCCAGACCCAGACCCCACTCACACGCTGCACGTTCATGCAGTTTCCAATGCACATAATCAACCCAAGCACAGCTGCAGGTTCCTGGGAAATGCTGACAAGACATCTGGTAGTTAAAGGAGAGAGGGCTGCGGCAGGGCATGTGGGCGAGAAAGGAGGAAAAGATACAGAAATCTATAAAGCATGCGACCGGGAAGAACGGCATCCAAGACTCCTGGCCCTTCTGAGTTCCACCATGTCAGTCATTCCATTATCTGTAATGCGCTCCAGGAAGCAGAAAACCAAAATGCTGTCTCTTGCCATGTGGAAAACACAGATTTTGTTTCTTTTCCTCACCCTCCACTCAGGTCTGCCCCTACAGTGAGACCACCTTCCCTCATCACCAGCAGGAGGTGCCCACTTCTGGGGCAAGGACCCCAGCACCCTTTAGGATCCTGGGTTTGTAGAGCAGCATTGAAATAGGTACCATGGAGGGAAATAAGACGTCGAGATTTTTCCCCAGGTGGTCTGCATTTTTTTTTATGGGAATTGGTTCACCAACCACAGGGGCACCCTGGGAAGTGTGAGGGTACTGCCTATTCTGCAGAACAGCCCTGTTCAAAGCTCAGTGCTGCAGGTGGCTTGTCCCCCACCCTCATCCAGTGGCCTCTGATGTGCTTCTCGGTAATGAGCCTCAACAGCGACCCAGCCACCTCTTGCATCTTCTATATGCACCATGCCCTGGGCCCTGTTTAGATGTATCAGCTCCTTTCTTCTCTCCTTTCCTTCCTTTTGCTGTGGTTCGATTTCTCACAATCGGCTCAAATAATTATTTTCCTCCAACGAGCTTCTCCAGTTTCTAGGACAGCAGACTCAATTGCTTACAGGATCTGCACAGCCTTGAAAGAAATTAAAATTGAGGGAGAGTCGGGGAGGACTCTGTGAGCTAAGCCAAGAGAAAATAACCATGTTTTCACAAAACAGAAGGAGAGATACATTCTTCGTTAAAGCTATAGAATGCCTGGACCAGGACCCAGCCAGGATCAGAGATGGGGAGAGGGCCCAGGGGAACCAGTCAGGTGAGGACGCAGCTCTTTCCCACATCTCGCCAAGGTTTATCCAGCAAAATCTGCAAGAATCTCTCCAGATACTCTGCAATTACGGAGTTACAGATTACCTGTCTTCATTTGGAATGTACTTTACACTTAGCAGGACCACGGGTAATTATAGGGCAACCTGAACCTAGCTGCAGAAGATGGAGATGATATTTTCTCGGTAACCACATCAGTGTGATTTTATAATTACTGAACTACGTGGATTTACTGTGAAATTGAATAGTTAAAAGCAAAGAGTAATTGCCTGATATCTGTACTCTGTAATTTAGTATAATCTAATCATGGACAAAGTCCAAAAGAAACTATTCTGAAAGCATTACATTTTTCTTCACACACAATCCGTTATTGACATCAGGGGATGTGTTCTATGCCTCTTAAGGAACTCTTACCCACAGATATCAAAGTGTGAGAGGGCCAAAAGAGTGAGAGTTTTGGTTCATTCTCATGAAAAGCAGGTGACAAAACTGCCCATTAAGTCTGTTCTAGCACTTCTCTATGACCCTCTTTACCTCTTCATTAACCTAGAGAGATGGAAAGTGTGACCCTCCTCTTCCATGGCACTGAAATGAGGCAACAAGATGTTAGGCAGTGCTGGAGCCATTCCAGCCAAAATCTATGCCCCGAATGACACCCGTATTGTCCCCGCGTTTCGACTACACTCTCCCGGTGGCTCCCAACAGTGTGGCACTATCCATGACGTGGTTTGAAGGAACCTCAGATTAGCTGAGAGGGACAAATGAGGCTGGCGATGAAGTGGATCAAGGACAAGTCCATGTTCTCTGAGTATCTTTAAGACCTGATAAATGCGTACAGGGCTCTGCAGGAAGAGGAGGAGAATGGAATCCACTAAAAGATTTATGGCTGTTATTATTATAAGGCTCTGCTGAGACAGACAGAGGTCAACAGGACGGCAGGCAGCGTGACAGCCCTCTGAGAATCCAGAGTGAACTCTGAGCAGCCCCTAACCTCTACTGAATGTGTGGATGTGGTTACTAAGTAGATTTAGACACTGGAGTTTGTTTTTCCTCTTTTGCTTTTAATAAATCAGAAAGACCGACCACAGCCTGAGCTACTCACCTTTACAAAAAAAGCACAACACAGTGATGAGAAAGGAGGGCACACAGGGCAGCTGTTGATTTTGCGATATTGCCCTTTTCTTTAAAATATGGGTTCCCATACTGGACAGGTCCAGCTGAAGAACACTGATGAAGACACAGAAAGGCAGACTCTGAGAAGGCCCACAAGGGCCTCATGGGCCCCATGGCGGAGGGTGGCAATGAAGCACTGAGGCTGATCCCTGATGGAGAAAACACAAGGGTTGGTGAAGGAAGTATGGGGACAGTTGTGTGGAGGAAAGTGAACAGCAACAAGCTGACTTCACTAAAGCGGGTGTGACGGCATTGGGGACAGAGACTATTGATGGAGGACCAGAGAGGTTAGAAATCCAGGGAGGGCGCAGGACTAGAGCAGGGAGTTCAGAAGGAAAATGGAAAAGCAGAGACCTGGGAGAATGATTGACTTGTGAGGTTTTTTTTAATTGACTTTCTCAATCAGATTGTGAGATTTCTTCTTGGAGGGGGTGGGGAAGGGAAGCACTGATCAGCAAACATTCTCTAAGTGGCGACACACAAAGCCAA